AAATGCCATTGCTGAAGATTCAGCATGAAAAAACCCCACACCAGTATCGTAAGCAGAAAGAATGTTGTTTTGCTGTGCGAGTTGTATGTTAGAATTTTACTCATTAGTGAAATTAAAATATTTACTCTAATAACACATGTAAGTAATTATCAGAGTAATTCTTCAACCTTTCTAATTCAATGAAGAGTAAATATCTAACTTCTTTAGCTGACACATTTAATAATTAAGAGAAATATTTCACTTGATTAAGAGGATATTCCTACTCCCAGATTCAAACACAGGTCTGTATTAGTGGGATGCAGTTCTGTTTGCTTCCAGCTATTCCTTTACAACTAACAGTCCTACTTTTGGTTGTTGTTAACATTAAATTACACTGAGAGGCTGAGAAGTACAATGAATTTTTAACTGTAGCACAGGCTAGACTGAAATGCAGACAAGTTTTGTTACAGTATTTTTTGACAGCACTACTCAATGGGAATAATTGCCTGGAAGTCCAGCAGCTACACTCTAGAATCAATGGCACAGACAGTGTAAGAGAAAGTCACAACACCAAGAGAGTAATGCTATTATGAGAAACTTCCTAACTGCATCCTGGAACATTTTCTGTGTTACTGCAATACAGAGAACACAAATAACATGGTCTGTGTTTTACTCACTGTAAAATTAACTTGCAACTGAGTGTACTATCAAGGTATATATATTTAATTAATGGTTTAGGAATTCTTTTGCTTACTTTAATTGTTTGCATTTTATTGTGTATGTCTTGTCTTTAGGGAAACCTTTGAGGCTGCCAAAACCTGCCATTCAAGCGCCTGCGATAAAGCTATCCTCTCACATCAATACTTACCCAGCAAGAAGTTTGCCCAAAGCAAATCTGCAATCAGCATCAGGAACAGAAATGCCAATGACTTCAATGCAAATGTAAGACTTCAGAGTGAAATTAAAAGCCACACAACTCTCTTGGAAAGCTTACACCTCCACACCATGGCACTGCTGAACATCCCATTCTTAGCAAGCTGATTATTACAATCTAAGCATGTCTAGTCCAGCTGAGGATAAAACAACAGGGAGTTAAAAACTCCAAACATTTTAACTCATATATTAACATATTATGTCATATAGGTATGTCCAGATGTTTTATGCAACTTAGCACCTATATAAATGGTCAGGACAGAATAGCAGCACTGGATCTTACTTTTGGAATTATATGTCACATACTGGAAGAATATCAACCCAACCATACAAACCACTATCAAAACCCCAAGAAAGCCTTCTCAGTACCACAGACATGGACAACACTGGGGCTGCTACCTTAGAAAAGTGTAAATATCCCTCAGTTCAGATGATGACACAGTCAAAGAGAGAAATAAGTAAAAGACACTTCCAACTTGAATCCTGGAGTCATCTATCACATGATAACTTACTTCTCAACACACTGAGTGAAAATGCTACACAGAACCTTAATTAAAAATTACTTTCTGTTCTATACCCAGGTGTATGTTTCCCTTCACTATTAACAAGGCTGTATTTTATTATTCCCAACAGATTTTAAATTCTACTCTGGATCATGCCATACAGACAGCAAACAGCTTGAAGAAAACCACAGAACGAATGGTACAAGCAGTTTCACAGGATCTAGCTAAAGTTAAAAGAAAACAGCTTTAATCCCCCAGTTTCAAATGCTGTATTTTTTTGCTGTTGATACTGTAGTGTTAGCATCTCTGCAAATACAAAATGATAAACACAAAGATGCTGTGTACCAGTGACATACTAGCCTGAGTTAATGGCTTGTTTCAGGGCTTCTTCCACACTTCACAGCTAACACCACCGTTCAGCTCTCCCTTCCCCCCTGGGCTCTAACTATATATCCCTGTAACTCAATTTGCCTCTGCTTATTATCCATAGTGTTGCTTTATTTAGTTTAATGTTTGGAATGTCCCCACTACTACTTTGCAAATGAACTGAATCTTGGAAATAATTGCTGCAGACTTCCTAGATCCAATAAACAGATTCATCCCCTCCATAGACATCTCTCCACACCACAAGATCAGCTAGACCTTTGGGTTATCCTGGGTCACTGGACCTGCTGGCCCAGGCCCGATAGCAAATGCCTAAGAATGAACATATTTCATAAAACAATCATGCAGTGACATTTCCTCAGAACATTCTCTGGCAAACTTAAAGCTCAGAATCCTGCCAAATCAGCATTTATAAAGACTTGTCTTGTATGTTGAGGATTTTTCCCCTCCTATAACCATGTAGAGCATGTCATTACTGCACACTGTCTCAGATGCCAAAGGTCCTTTTGTTCTGATCTTACAACTGCAGGTTTCATGTACTAGTTCACACACTGAATAGGAAGGTAACACATCTGTCCCCCTCAGTCTGCACACTGACATGATTTTTGAGGCTTCCATCACACACTCCCACATTATTTTTTTGTCCCTTGGTCAAGAATCATATTCTAACCTTTCTTGAAAAAGAAATTTTTCCATACCTTTGATTTTGCTCTTGGTCATCTCTGAATCTTGTCCAGATTTCCAGATTCTTGTCCAGATTTCAACTTAAAAAATAAATGGCACTTGGAAATATCTATCTCTGTTATCCAGGGTAATCAAACCAACTTATCTGCTTATCTGAGCCGGGGCCCACATATAGAGCTAGGTGACTATTTTAAGATGCATAATATGAAAATACCAACTTTCAAATTTATAATATACCTTGTACATGTACTCTGAAATATTAAGCTTTGGAGGGAGATGTTTATCCTTCCCACTCTTGATCTTCATAAAACCATTCCTGAGCTAGAGAAAATGTGGCAGAGATCCTTGGGAAAAAAAATAAAGAATGTGAAAATAATTTCCACTTTTCTCCCCTGCACCAGCTGTTTTGGGCTATATATTGTTGTCAGGTTTCTTATCTTAAAGCATTCCCATGAATCCACCTTTACTGCAATGTTTGGCTTTGCTTTGCCTGCTGGAAAGTGGGTGATTAATACCAAAACCACACAAAATTAAGACTTACGAGTTATCAGCTATCAAATTTTGAGCTGGTGATAGTACTTAAGCCTGAACTAGACACTTGAGAAAAGTCTAACTGCTGAATATACAAAAATAATCCAACATTTCGACCTGGTGTTTCTTCAAGTCTATGCCACAAAGAAAATATCAATGCAATGGATTTTATATACTACTGAAATCAATTATTTCCGCCCTTAAGCAGGACACTGATATCAGTTATTTTGTTCTGTAGTTATTGCCCTTCAGCTGTAGGAACAGGGAAAAAAATTGCAGCTACACAACTGTTAAACCCAACAGGAGTTGTTCCTGCCAGACATCAGAACTACATATAATTTAAGCACAACTGATTGATACCCATTTCCCCATGGCATCTTCAGGAACAACATGTTGAACACTGCATTTCTTAGATACATACTTCTACTCTGAATTTCTACTGTAATATTTCTAGCTATAAACCAAAATTCAGAAAAAAATTAAATATTTCTGCTAAATGTTTTCCAAGTTTTGGTACCCATGGTGTTTGATGAACCAGTTCAATTAAGAGAGCTGTTCCTGTACTCCTACTGAAAATAAAGTCAGGATACCTGAGATGCCTAACTCATTTAGGTGCATTTGGAAGCTACAGCCACTTATCCTCATTATGCCCTGCAACATTTTAGAACCATTATGTAATGTTCTCTCCTTTCATTCCTCTCTGATGTGGGCAGGGTGGGAGGGGAATTTGACTGTTTGCTGCTTTCTAATTAACTCTGAATGAACATACCTAGCAAGAATGTTCTCTTAACCTACTTGTTAACCTAAGAGGAAAATAAAGGGAGACGAAATCAAACCACCTTTCTGCAAAACAAAAAAATGAATACCCTTATGGTTGGGAAAAACATGAATAAAAAGCCATGAAGAATCAATTCTTCTTCATTATGACTTTTCTCTTGGATTTCACATATAACAAACTAATATTTCAAGACACGTGAACACAACATCCCTTTTAAAAGTTTAGCAATTTTAATTAAGTCATTTTATAAAAGAAATCTAAACATTACCAATTTTACAGAATTCATACAATTTAGATTTTTTTAAGCCCTTTCAAACCAAATTTAAATGTTTCTTAGTATGTAACAAAGCAGAAAATTCTCTTGAATACATCAGATTTTGGCATTTGGTTTGCTTTTTGCTCTTCTTTTTTAAATTACCAACCCACTTGGAAGATTCAACTGCTTCCCTTCTTTTCCTCTCCTTTTCCCCCACCTCCACTTCCTCAAAAAGACATGATTACAATTTTGTAACTTCTGCATCACAAGCAGTTCAACTTCTAAACCAGATAAAGTAGACGCAATCAGAAGGAAGTGGCTAAGGAATTGATTTTTTAAAAAAAGTTTCAGTAGTAACCCCCTCATATACTTAAATATAAAGTGTACTTCAGTGCACAGTTGACAGCATTTCTCCAGAGTTAGTGTGATTAGAACTGCTCAATACTTCTGTGATGAACTACTTACCTCACCCAGCACCATCTAAAAAACCTTTCGATTTTGCACAATTACACATAGTTCAAGAACTTTCAAGTGAGTTATTTTTACAGAAATATTACAGCTTAAGACTCTCCACTTTTATGAAACACTTTTACCATAAACCCCTATTTACAAATTTTCTTGTGAAGCCTCTACCCAAGAGCTTAGGCCCTTCTTAATTCAGTCATTTTTAGAAATAAACCCTAGTATAGAAAGGTTTCACAGGTCTCAAAGCCAATTCCAGTTTTAGCACTACTTGCTAGGAACAAACATGCCCTTTAGAAAAAGCACTTCCAGTGTAATACTAAATACAACCGATGAAACAGCTGATCATTTTTAAACTCCCTGTGCCTTCTACACACCAAAAAAGCAGCAAATTTAAATCACGACTTTCCATCACTCAGAACCATGTAGTACCCTGGTGTACTATTTAGAAAATGCAATTCCATAAGAATATGTACATACTATGTCTTTTTAATGCATCATAAACATCACCATATCTATTCATCCTTAATGCAGACCATATCCTTGGGTTTACTAAGGCTCTTCACTTCATCCAGTAGTCTTCTAGGTGTCAAAATATGAGTAGAACCTGACAAAAGAACATAAGTATTAACTGTGTCAGTCAAGTTCTGACTTTGACATTCCCTCTTTAAAACATCAGTTACATGCCAGTGGTTTTTCCTGTCCCTGGAAAACTGACAAGCTTAACAGTTCAAAACATGATCATAGGTTTTCATAGAAAGCATCATCATATAAATAGCAGTGTCACCATTAGGTAGACAATGTCCCTGTTCCACACACTCAGACATCCAGATTAGGACTTTTACTTTCAATACAAGTTTCAAGTCTTGCTCTGCCCTGTTGGAAACACAGCCTTGAACCTGGGCCACTGCTGCTGTATTCAACTGTCCCTCCCCTGCAAGAAATCTGCCTGTTCTGTGAGAGGGTGAGTTAATGACAGGCTTTATCCTAGAATCATGAAACTATCTGGATTAAAGATTATTACCAACAGTAGTTTTCCACAGAAATACCAGTTACAGAAAATTCGCTTTTACTGACCAACATTTCCTTGAAAGATCTGTAACAAGTTCCAAGCCTTGAGCAGCAAAGAAAATCCTTATTATACTTCAGGAGTGCACAACTACCTCCCTAATTCTCATAGAGTGACACTTTAACTTCTGCCCTGAAGGGTTACACTAGAGCTCTAAAGGCAATACTTAACTGTTTCAGATTACAGCTGGCTAGAACCTTTGGTTTTAGCAGTGTCACTCTGAATGTGCTAATAGTCCTTGAGTTCTAAAGCAGTAACACAACAAAATTTTAATCTTGCAGTAAGCCATGGGGAAATTTGCAACTATCACCTTTCACCAGAAATGGCGATTACAAACAAAACTACAGGAACCATCTCTAAACCAAAGAGAAGATGGTGCTATGGTGAGTGCCAGATACCACAGTGAGAGTGACCTAAACAAGGCTTTGTAAACAAGTCTCAGCATTAAACCTACTTCAAGTACCACAATGAAACCAGCAAACAGAAAATAAACTTAAAAACCAATCACACACCTAAAACACCCCGACTATTTTGAGGTAGCAGACTCTCGGAATCATGATTGTCATTGTTTCAGGGAAGAGTATTTATTCAATCACGGTGGATAGATTCAATCCTTTCTGAAACTCAAGACTAAATTTCATTGCCAGACAGAGACATCTCAAGCAATTTAGAATGCTGCAGATGACCTGCACCCAGACACCAGCTGCCCCTGCAGATGGATATAGGTCTTTGTTAAGGTTCTGTTTTGATGTATCATACTACATCCAAAAGCAATGAGAGTAGCAGGAGTCATCGAAGGTAAAGCACAGGCAGATGCAAAAGTTGTGAGGAAACTAATGCAAGGAAATCGAGGCCTGTTTAAATCCTTTTTTGGCTCTATATCAACATACTTCTCTGACATAATTCAAGATGATTCATCCATAGAGTATAATTATACTTTTTTTGTCCTTAATCTTATTGCAAAAACCCCTCCAAACATTGAGCAGTCCAGATAAACTGATAAGATGCTCCTAAGTGCACAGTTTTGAGAAATACACTGGCTATAGTAGTAGTGTAGTGAACCAACATAGGGAAGCTAAAATCATCCTTATGTTTTCCAGAGCCAGCCTTTTTCCAGGAAAAGCTTACCAATAATAACTTCACAGGACTTGTAGGCTTCAGACACCTCATAAGCACTTCGCATCTCGGAGTATGTAATGCCCCCAATGACGAAGAGGATGAGCCTGGCACTGCGCTTGCGCTCCTCTCGGTAACTCGCTCGAGGTTTCTGCCGTGCACTGCAAAACATGGCACAGGGTGACACCTGTACAGCTCCCCTGATTAACTGGTAAAAATTACACACTGAAGGGGTAACGATTTCTGCCATGCAGTTGATGGTTTGATTATACTTACATAGCAGTATTTTGATAAATTGGTCATTAAAAGAGTTTTAATAGCATCAAGTTAGCACAACTCAAACTGCTCAGTTATCACATGGGGAAGAATAAATGCAAAACAAACAACTTGTTGCACACACAGCTCACACAGCAAGGACTTAGACCAAGCAGCTTAATTCTGCATGTTATCAACTCCAGTGGCATTTTTCATGGGAGTTTCATTTGAAAAAGTTAGAGTCTCAGGTTTTTTAGTCTCCAAACCTGAGCAGAAAGTCTAAAGAAAATATCTGGTTGTTATCAAATAAGATTCAGACAGGGGGAAAATACAACACAAAGCTCTTCAATGTCCTTCTAGCACACAGAGTAATTGCAGACTCAGATTAAATAATCTGCAGCTCTCAACTCTTTGCTACAGTACCTAAAAGATTCCCACATTTCACCAGCCTGTGAGACAGATCAAGTTACAATGTGCAGGGATTTGCTCTACTGTTCACTTGCACTTATTACCACAGTGCACATCCAGGAACCTAATGATACACCAACAATTGGGTTAGCAGTGGATGTAACACAACTACTTTTCTAAGGCTCTGTATCATTAAAATAAGACCTAAGTTCAGTCTGTTTTAGAGGAAATAAAAATACAGGCTTGACACATTAACATGACCTTACGTATGTTCTCTCTCCACACAGTAAGTACACTCGATAGTGCTTCAGAATGTACATGACAAAAATACTAAAACATAGGTAAATCAGGTTTCAGGATATGAAACAATTTACCTTACTGCTCCTGAGCCATTCCAGGTGGGAGGACACCGGGAACTATAAGGCCAGTCTTTTGAATCTAGTTTGTTTTCTATAGCGTCCTGTAGGGCAAAACAAAGACCCAGGTAGACCTAAATCCCATCAAATTTCAGCTCTCAGTAACAAAGTCTAACTGGGATTCAATGCCAACCCATGCAACTTAGAAGAAATAATTGCAAATAGCATCTCATGAACAACACTCCTATGAAGAAAGTGCTAGACCACATAATGCTAAAGTTGATTACAAGTCTTTTGTGTATCGCAGATATTTGGGAGTACATGTACTTTATAAAATATTAACTCTTCAGATTTCAATAACAGCTTTTCACCTGTAAGGACTCTCACATATTTAATTTCACTACAGGAGTATATGAGACAAGTCAGGGTCGCCTGAAGACACAAATGGACCTGGGAAAGCCACCAAGAATCTATGAATGACAGCACTGGGTCAGACTAAAGGTCTAGAAAACTCGCTGTCCTGACTGACATCAGTCACTGACTGATGCTTAGGAAGAGGTTTAAGCACAAAGCAAATAACACTTCTGCCAAGTAACATTCTTCCAGCCTCTGCCCCACTACAGTTTAGGTTTGAATTGCAGTTTAAAGACCCATCAGAGGGAATAAAAAAATACAGCTCTTCAATTACACTAAACACTGCCAATGACAGGACAAGTTGTTCTAAGGGACTGTTTGTTTTTACTTTCATTTGCTTCACCCCTAAAATGATCTCTAATAATGAACATTCCTAACACATCACATTCTTATGTTCTGTATTACAGACAGACTAGAAATGATAGCTTTGCTCAACAGATGTATTTAACAAAAGAAACTCAAAATACTGTCAATTCAAATGACTGGCTATAACTGCTCACTCAAGTAAATTTCTGCACTGCACCAGCAATTAATTAGTTGGTCAAATTTACCTGCATAATGTCTTTGATAACAGGTGTCCACCTAGAAAGCTGAAAGGTTTCTTCTGAAGAACGGTCCCTTCTGGGGTATTGATACTGCTGAGCTGCAGACTGAAAAGATTTTCAAAACATGGTTGCATTATACAGTGAATTTGGAGTTTTGAGAGCTCAGCCAGTAGCAGGAGGAGAGAGGATCACTAAGAAATTTTAAAGAAATAGTAATAATGACAAAGAACATCAATTAATACCTCTAGAATTCAGGATACACTAGAGACACTAACTTCAGAGACAAGGAACAGACCTTCCAAAACCAACTAGCTCAAGTCACTGATGATTTTAGAGGGAATGTTATGGGTATCTTACTTTAAACAATTAACATGAATAATTTTCAAAGAATGTACCACTTAATCACATTATAAAAACAGGAATTGCCTACTTCCAAAAACAGACCTGGATAATACTGCCAAGAGTTGCTGAAAAGATGTAGACAAGTGCTTGGGTGGTAGGAAATCATGAAATAAGTAAATACATTCTTACTGAAGAGATAACAGGAACGTCAAGGTATTTCCAATTTTTTATCATATCACTATCACTTTCTATTTGTACATTCTGGATCAGCTTGTCCAAGTTCTCCTGGGTAGTACCTTCAATATACAGAAAACAGACAACTTAATTACCAAGTGACTGTGAGTAAGGCCAATTTTGTCTCACACATTCTGAGTTGTTAATTACTGCAGGAATTTGTTTGTTTTGTGTGGCCAGTTTAAACTTAAACTTAAAGTAATTCTATATTTTAGATAAAATTTTGTTTAATGGTCCATATTGAGACCAAAACTTAGTTTTGTTACAGATTACTCAGACCAATACTCTATCAGTTCCCTCCTCTATGATAAATTCTTCCCCACTGACTTAATTCTTCCATTGTGATGGACATGGAGCTCCACATTTTACAGTTTCAATACTATGTGAAAAGAAGAAAATAAACTCCTGCACACACAAGAATAGGAATGATACTAAACCACCGTATGAATCTGCACTTGAATTATGTATCTTAACTCTTTATCAATATTCTCTTTGCTACTAATTTGGGAAAAGCTACAGAGGATGGACAGTATTTCTTTCAAACCTGCCCATCAACTCCAATACAGAGACTTACATTAACTAAAACCACTGGACTGTGGTAAAACTTGAGTTCAAGCTCATAGCACTGAGAAAAAAAAAAAGGTCAAACAATCATACCATTTGTGCTAAAGATATACAGGAGAATAGCTCTAATTTTGTCATAGCTCTCATGACTTTTGTTGAGCAGAACTGGAAGGAGGACCCTCATAGAGTCTTTCACTTTTTGACCTTCGGCATCAGTTCCAAGAGCCAAGTCCTAAAGTAATACAAGCAAACAAACAAACTCACACCATGGTTTTAGAGAGCAGACATTAAAAACAACATTGCTTCGTGTTTTGAAATGCATTGTTATGAAACCATAGGTTTCAGAAAACAAGCTGCATCAATTAAAACTCAGTGTGACAAATCTGACACTCACTTCAAAAGTTGCAGCACTATAATAACACTACATAATACTCTTAGACAAACTATTTGATATCTACAACTCTTACAAATATATAGTTTTTAACTTGAGATTAGTAGTACAACGTAATGCCTCAGCCTAACGGGTGCTTTTCCCAAACATTTTAAAAAGGGTTTCCCTCTGCACAACACAGTAAGGCAACTTCATAGGAGTTTTGAACAAAAAAAACAAAGATGATCCTTATACAAATCAGCCAGATTAAACACAAAAAACCCCCCAAAGCCCTCTAGAAACACATCCTTTACTGGCAGATTAAAAGCCTTGTTTTCTCACTTACCTTCCATACTACTACGTCAAAAAATGACAACAACTGACAACAACGAAAAAAACAAGCTGCTACAGACACAGTGAAAAACAAGCCTCTGTTCCTGCAAACTAAAAAGTTTTACTTGCAGGAAGTTGTTGTTTGGTTTCTGGGTTTTTTCAACATACCTGTTCAATTTTACAGAGCCTTTCTATGTTAGATTTGAACTTGCTCATGCAATCTTCTGCTATGTTAAGATGAACAACTTGCTGTAAGAAACAAGCAAAATCCCAAGAAAATCACAAGCTGCAATAACTTGCCAGTTCTAAGGTTTTTTTTAAACATATCAATAATTTTTACTGGTTACAAGACTCAATCCTTCAACTATCCTTCAGTACCAACATGCATTTCCTGTGTTTTACCCTTCACTTAGAGATTGACCCCAGTAATACCTCTTGAAACATTAAACTTTGATGCTATCTTCAATCATCAGAGCATTTAAGGGATTTTACACAGCAAAATGAAACACCTGCAAACACATTTTCCTCTGAAAACTATACAGCAGGTGAACATATTAGCTTGGAGAACAGCTACACAGCACACTTCACAGGAAAATGACAGCATAAAACTAGACTTCAGTAACATGGAAAATAAAGTGCACAGAACTCTGTACAGAGAAGGTCTAACTACAAAAGATCCCTTACCTTACTAATCTCTTTACGATACTGTGGCATCTTTTTCATTAACTGGGACAGAGCAGACAGTGTTAACTGTGAAGAAATGACACAAGTTAAAACTTTGTCCCCTCAATAAGTGACACGCTTATTTCCCTTCCTGTCTTGCTTCCCCCACGACCTCCGAAAATTCCAGTTGGGAAAAGCTTCAATTTCTGTAATACATCCATAAATTACATGGATCTGATCAGCTGTAAATAACTACATTACCAGGAAAAACAACAATAGTTTAATTTAAACCACTTACTTTTCCATCTGCTTCTTTTTTCTTTGATGAAATTTCTTTCAAAAGTTTTGGTAGTTCCCTGAGGGGAAAAAAAATATGGAAAATAATCAAATGCAACAGCACCTGAGTTCTTAAACCTTAAGATCTTACAAGAACTGTGCAATGAGAACTTCTAAATCAAAGTAAAAGCCACAAATACAGGTCTCCTAGAGAGAAGAGAGTGATTTTTGACAAAGGAAACCGAAGTTAAACATTCTGTTTATGATATCTGCATAATGTCATTTGATGTATTTTGGCTAGCACTTCACAAAAATAACCCCTTCAGATTTAAACTATTTCAAAATACTTCCCAGGAAATTAATTTATTTCCATTTTCCTCAAAAACAGTAAGTAGCATTAGTACAACTGCACACCTTGGTACATACTGTATTTTTGAAGGACGTTTTATTCCTGGCATTGATTACTGAGCGAAACAGTCTATATTGCAAACCATCTTCACTACTGCCTGTGTTCCTACTGAACAGCTCAAATCCCTTCCCTCTCAAAGCAACTTTTCAAACAAGTGGCTTTGTAATTTATTCACATACTCTATCACATCTGCGATATGTTTGTGCCGCATCTTCACCCAGAGGTCATCGTCTTCCTCCAAAACTGCCTCGCGTTCCTTCCCAGCAGATCCTTCTGTTTTGAATCTTCCAAGAGAAAATTCACAGTTATTTGGTTCTTTTGGGTTTCCCCACAATTCTCACCACTTATTACAGCACTATTTGTTACAGTTTAAGCAACATAAATGGTAATAGCATTAACATACAAAGGTTTTAATTTATAAGCCAAACTCAATACAATGTAATTTGAACACACAAGCAGCAGATGAATTTTAGAATGATTCTTTGGGGCAATAGTTTCTGGACATTCTCTTAAACTAACGTAATTAGAGTTTTAATCAAGCATTTACATGCACCTCAATTTCTCTTCAGCTTCCAACATCAACTTCCTTTTGGCTTTAAACACAAAGTGCACAAAGTAACACACACTGCAGTGGCAAAGTGCAGCTTTTTGTGTGTGCTCTAAGACATTTTACAACTGAAGGAAAACGAAGTCCCATTCACCAACAACACAGACTAAGCAGGACAAATGACTTCAAAAACACAAGAAACATGCTTCATAGCATTACAGGGCAGCTATTACTTGACCACAAATAGCAATAAGCTTATAAAGCAAGACAGCCATTATGCTACAGAACACTTCCACATCTACAGAAACTCACACAGTGGATATGGCCAGCAAGCAGCAAAACAGAAAAAAAAATTTACCAGATTATTTGTGAAATTCAGATCATGACTACCTAGAAAACATACTGTGTTACATCTTCATATCCAGCAAGTCTGAGATTCACAGAACTCCACACTTTCGATCAAAATGTTTGCTCAATGCTTCTAGCCAACGACACACATTCCTGTATGCCTGACTAAACAGTGAGGCCATCAGGGCTCATTTGCTGTAGTGGGGCACCAGAAACCAAAGTCCTACCAAAATCTCTGGTGTCAGAACAATCCGACAGCAAAGTATGCACCTTATGCAAATCATGTCACACTATTCCAAACAGTCCAACACGGCTTACTTAAACGTGCATTTAGAACAGAAATATGTACATTTTAACAACTGCACAAATTAAATGACTGGAGCTGTAGGACTGAGCGTTCCTGAGAAATAACCAAGCTTTTCCTCAGTATTCAACCAGTGATCTTGTTTGTCTTGTTAGGCCAAGGAGGTTGAGAATATGAGAGAAAATCTAGCAAACCTCAACGTGCAGTACCAAGGTTCTGCTTCAACACTAGTACTAAGCTCTTGGTTTTTAAAAAAATGCAGTTTGTTAGACTCAAAACCTAGTAAAAATGCCAATTAGATCCTATCTAATCTCAGCTCAATGGGGGTATTGGAGAGGAAGTTACAAATCCAAGAGGAAGGACTAATAAATGAAGTAAAGATTACATAATATAAGCAGCTAATACCACCATGGTGCAATTCAGCTAAACAATTCCAGAGATTCTATAATCAAGAATAAAATATTTAGATTTTTTTCAAAAGTACTTGCTTGTAAGTATCATTTTCAATGGGTAGCAGATCATATGCCATTGCCTGGAAGGTGAGTTCATGCAGTACAGTTGATACTGGGTCAAAGGCACGATCAATGATGATGAGCTGGGAGTGAGTTTTAGCCTAGAAAGCCATCAAAGAAACAAAGACATACAGTACATACTTAATGCATGTCAAATCTATTCACACTAAGCTACAGCACTGCAGATATTTTGTGAAAGATAACTGAAAAAAGCTGAAGTATGGCCCAAGTGATTATCCAGATTAATAGAAACAAACCTTTAAATTACATACAATGGTTTTAGATACTAATTTTACAGCAATGTTCTCAGCCCCTTGCAATGCATTTGGTAACCTGAATTTTCTTCATCTAATGAACAAAAAGTGTAAAGGAAAAATGAAACAGAAGAAAAAAGGCCACCCACTGACGTGTCATATATAACTGCACTGTTTGTATTTCAGGGCAGACGATCCATACTGTGTGGCATTACTGAAAAAAATCATCTCCAAGCATTCAACTGGAAGTTTTGGGTTTGGGGTTTAGCCATGTGGCTGTAGCAGCAGGTACATATATTTCTCTAGCAGACTGCAGTCACCAAGTCAGAATGGTTCACCCCATACTTCTGTGATGAAGCAGCTGCCCCAAACAGCCATGAGCTGCAGTGACAGATCAAGAACCTTATTTACGTGAACAGCTGGATCTCTGTGGATAATAGATCCTTTCAGGGGAGACATCAGTTCTGTACTGAAGTCCTTTCTGCTCATGGCCTTATGGAAGGCAATATTAAAGCAAAGTTTATCCACTTGCCTTCAGGTTTGTATCATCTCCTAATGAGTTGGATCACTCAAATTTTATTTTCTTAGGTACAGATGTACTGTATCAGTTACTACCTCTAAGTTGCTTTCATACACAAAAACAACTAAAATCTGGGCTTGTAGAACCTATTGTCAAAGCATATTCCAAAGATGACTTTTTTTCCCCAGACTTATATAAAAAGAAAGAAACATCTTTTACTTCACTTTCTACCTTTATTTGGCTTTTCTCATCTGTTTTGTAGTAGTTTTCAAGATTTCTTTCAACAAGCTGTGCAAGTTTGCAGGCTCTATCAGATGGTCCGCTGGGAAAAAAGGAAGCATGCAAAAATAACTTCAGTTTCTTCATCAGAACACTAAAATGCTACCTTTAAACAGAAAGAACTCCCTAGATTCATCCTCTGGTTTCACAAGCAATTTCTGAACTCCATTCTAAGTATTTCCAACACACTTTCACTTTTACATTACGATTCCACTCTTTGCTTCAGGTAATTCACACAGTAGCAACAGCTTCAGCCAAAAGACTGACATGAGCTGGCATATAGCCCAGTCTCACTCATAGGGGGGGAAATGAGAAAGACAAAAGAAAAAGAGAAAGAAGGAAAAAACCCCCAGTTATTTCACCATTACCTTTGCAGAGACCCCAGTCAAGCAGTTATTTCACCATTACCTTTGCAGAGAATAAGGTACCACTTCACATTACACCACAGAATGAAGTTCAGGAACACAATTTCAGATTCCTACTTTGACTAAAGATACTAATCTGTACTCCCTTTCAAAGCTCAAAAGATGCATTCTTCTAGACATCTCTACAAGAAATCCTGATCCCACCTGCCACAGCAATTTATGAATTCCTTGATGCCAAGCAGAGCTGCAAATCTAACAACAGCAGCAGTTTTGTTAGAGGATTATGCATGGGGTATACAAGAATGCTGCACATTAGTGTCATCCTACTGACCAAACATGAAACAAGCAGTGCAGAACACAACAGGGTAGAGCAAGTACTGTTATACAAACGTACACAGAGAAATAGCTCACTCCTCTAACTACACTTCACAAATTCCTATCATTCCACACTTCAGAGCTGTGGATTAAAAAGAATTAATCCACAATTAAAAACAAAAACAAACTATGCTGCAGCCTCAAGCTATGACCAAACAACATGGCAAGCCCTAGAAATCAAAGCAATTACAGTACAAAACACTGATTTTTCCCCACCTTTTATACCGTACTCCTGGATTCTCCTCCAGTGTGGCACATAAGGTAACTATTTGTTCAGCCATTACTTGCATTACAGTGTCTTTATCCTTTGACTTTTCCAGAGTTGGGCTATAACAGCGGTAGAATGCATCTGGGACATTGAGAGTAAACACCTATGCGAAGCACAAACAATGGAAAAGTAAAAAAAAGCTGAAACTGTACTCTTCTAAAATATATGATAAAAAAATTGCTAATACTTTATAACTATATGCTGTGACAAAAAGTTATACAGAAGATACTTAAGAAAAAAACCAAACCCTGACTTCATTCTTCCTTCCCTGCTCTGTTGGGCTCATCTGCTTCTTGTTCTCACACTCTTTTTCCTTAATACACTCCTTCCCTATGTCAATTACTCTATTTTTTAATCACTTACTGTCTGTTCTGATGGAGGGAAGGGAGAGAGACAGGAAGAATTAAATACCCCCCACCGTCTTGTACAGAGCCATACAATGCAACAGCAGAATGATCATAGAAGGCATCAAGGCTAAATTTGTTTAAAATAAAATTTTACATATTGTATCTGCTTCTTATATGAAGATTTCACCTTCAGTAATCGAAATCCTTTAAATGCATTAAACTTTGATAAAAGAAGTTTAGTCCTACAGAGAAGAAAAGCTTTTTCAACAGCTTCCCAAATGGACTGCAAACATGGAAACAATCCCATTGTCAGTAAATTAATTTTCCCCAGCTTTAGCTAGACTCTGCAACTACAGAGCCAAAGAAGAAGGTCCATCCAGATAAAGATGTTTGCTTCATTCCAATAATCACCCGGACTTTGCCCAGAGCTCAGCCTGGTTATTTACTGTCAGCACCTCAGAGAGCAGGCAAACCAGTTCACACTGTTCCTTTGCTAAGGATTCAAAACAGTCTCACAACCAGAGAGCAAGCAAACCAGTTCACACTGTTCCCTTGCTAAGGATTCAAAACAGTCTCACAACCCAAAATACCAAGATTACAAAGCTACACCATAGACAAGCACAGTGCAGCTCAACCTAAGTGCTGCTTATTTTTAACTTCAGAAAAGTAGTCTCCCAATTTCTGCTTTCACAGTGAGTCCCCAGAGAACCAGGACCACAAAATTTTCATATGCCTTATTTAGTAGGGAATGCTCCAAAACTTTCTGAAGAGCAGCTTCAGCAGAGCTCCCAAAAACAGTTTGAAACAAAATTTGGCAACATCAACCTCACTGGAAAACAAACAAACAAGCCATTACACTAATTATTCTCTCATGGCTTCTTAATCTAAATAATAAAAATTTGTAATAAAAAGGAGTGTGTCTTCAAACTCAAAAATTGCATCACAGTGAGACATGGCTAGCAGCAACCTCTCCCATACTCATCTGCCACTTGGTGTACGTAAGAGTTCTGAACCTTGATTATGTTCCTAACATTTCATGTGGGAAACCTTCACCATTAGTTCAACAATTCCCAGTAGTGGACAGGGACTTGGGGCTTCACTGTATCAGTTCTCATTTCAGCCTTGTGTGTCTGATGAAGAACATGAGCAACAAATTATTTATCAACACAATATCCACTGTGTGGCTGAACATGGAGCCACTCACTGGTTTCCTTTGGTGGTCTCGGATTTTTAATTGAGAAAAGAGATTTCCATGTTTTCTCAATGAAAAGTTTGTCAAGTTGTGGTAGTTTTTGTTTCCCTCTTTTGGCAAGGCTTTTGTTTTGTTCCCCCTCCCCTTCAGTTCTCCTAATCCATTTGTTCTTCTTTGATTTTCACCAAATAGTTAGTCCTACTTACTCCTACCCACCAACCTACTCAGTCTCACAAAGTAACACCTCAGTATATACAGTAACAAACTAAAGACAAGCCAGAACACTTGCCTTCTCTCAGGGAATAGATTCCTTCTCTAACCTCCCTACTGCAACTGACTCTAAGTCTTCCAAAGAGGTCAAGTGCAAGGAGCAAACCTTTGAGTACCGGAACATTTGTTTTCAGCTGAAATGCACAGGCAAGCACTGGCAATGTGCCAAGATGGCAAGAGGTTTCACATACAGTTCATCAGTAAAAAGCTACATCCTACTTGTTTTCTAGGAGGTCAGCAACACTTCAAAATAATCCTCCAGACTATTTTTTGCTGCTCAAATGAAGAACTAACTTACCTGAGACTCATAAGGGAAGAAGGAAATGTTGATCTCCTTGCATCTCCTTATTGATTTAGCACACGAGGACTTAATTTTATTGAAGAGGTTGTCAGGGCAAACTAGGGAAAAACAAGATTCTAAGTATAAATCATTTGTGTGTATTCCAGCTCTCAACTCAATCATAAGCTTACAGTATTCAGAACAGGCAACTTTAAATTAAGAACCAATTAACCATAACATACAAAAACAGTTGCCAACTCTTCTTAAGGTGAAAGACAAAGTATAATCAACATTTTGTGCCTGAGACTTTTTTTGAGGAACACCACTGGTCTGTTTTGACTAGCTTCACCATAACAGACAAGGCTGTTGATTTTACCAAAACAAACGTTTCTGCTATTTCTTCTCATTTCTCAAGCTACAAACAAGGTTAAAAGGAGAAATAATGTGTATATATCCAACAGCAAAACACAAAACCATGGAACTACAGAGCTCAAACGTGTTCCACTACACTTCCATGCTACACTGAATCCCATTCTTGAAACTGAATTTAAGGAAGACTTGGATGACATGAATGCAACACAGAAGTGACAGAACTCTTTCTCTAACTCAGGAGCTATTCCTCTCAACAAGAAAACTTTTGGCAAGTATTCGAAGTGAAAGCTTGCCCATTTGCAACCAAGGAACTGATAGCAAGATAGCAGTACTTTTGCAGAACAATAATTGCTGCATTAGCACAAAATGAAACAAGAAACCAACAGATTTTGATAGCAATTTGATAACTGCTCTGAGAACATTCAGTAGCAGATATACACCATCAGCAAACATCCAAAATGACAGCCACAATTCAGCCTGTCTTCAGCAGCACATTGGAATTTCTGTTTTCCCTTCTTACAGGCCATTTCAGTCATGCTGACTGACTACTTTGTTTATATAGAAATACATAACTTTATTTGAACTGTCTTCCTCCATACCCTCCAGCATAGGAGAAGGCTGGAGTACTTAAAAATAAAACTACATTACACCTAAACCAAAAGCTGAGGTGGGGAACCATGAAGACTGTTTGGCAATTGTGAAAGCCATTACTATTGTCACACAACATAGTGACCACAACCTGGCAACCCAAATATATATGGTCAATGACTTAAATCTCAAATCTTCTCACAAGAAACGAGACCCAAACATTTCATGCTAGCTGAACTATGGGAAAGAGAATTGAGGAGCTTACTACACCTACATAAAGTTATCAAACTAGAACACAACAGCTTACTTACAGTCAGTGAAATACACATATGCTGCTTTGTATCTGCTGGATGATTTAGTGATGAAGTCATCAATAAGTCCATCTACAGACTTACAGGGTAGGAAAAATAAGAACAAAAAAGTCATCATAGTGTTTTGGCTTTCTTCACATACCAGACAAAGCTTATCCCTCCTCTCCTCCTGCCCTATTACCAAGTCTCACTTAGGAATACTGCAAATCAACATATAAGAAAACACTTAAACTGAAGATTATTCCAGACAAAGAATAACAAACAAACAGTTACAGATGGTCAGTCACACACCAAGATCACTCTGGGAAGCAGATCAATCAGGGTACTTGAGTAATTTTCTAACTATAACAGTGCTGAGATTTATTCCGTCAAAAATTTTTGGGAAGTAATGGTAATCTCTATTTTTCCATATACTGTATCATTATGTAATACAACATCTCTTTCAGTGAGGTTACAATAGTTAAGCAATCAAACTGTGCCTCCACTGATCACAAGGTACAAGTTTACAGCACTCTATACTGGCACTGCATCATCTTTATGTTATGGGAAATGAAGCATCACACAGAGGAATATCACAGAAGTACAACACAGCTGTACACAGTCAGCAAACATTTGAAAATAAGGTTGTTTTTTCTCAAGATCTTGCCACACTTTCTTTAGAATACTAACCTTCTTGGTGGGAGTTATTAAATATATTGCCTTCATGTGTGGGACAGGCTCGCGGCGTTTGTACACATTCTCCACCACTACAAAGTAAGAAATATCACATTTTTATAACTAAGAGTGTTATGCATCTTTAAAGAAAGCACTGTAGATATTTTAGCATAAAATTGCTAAAAATCAAGTAACAGCAATCAACCTGTCCACAGTATTAGAGGCAAAGACCTATCTTCTGCCAAGAGAACCTTGATTTGCTTATTTGTTATTTTAAATACAGAAAGCTGCACAAGACTTCTTTAATGAATGTCGGCTGAAGTTGTAGGACTAAGTTAGTCCTGGCTGTTCTACAGGAGCAGAGTTTTGCCCTCATGGAGAAAGGTATTGGCAATGCAAACATGCTCAAACCATGGGGCCCAGTATGAACTGTCTTGCAAGAGAACTCCCTTGCCAAGATGGTCCTTTTCCAGCACTCTGAAGGAGAAGGAGAGTGAAACTATGCAGGGCATCATTTTGGACTACAGCCTCTTCTGTCCTTTGTTTGCCTACTTCCTGCGCAGTTACTCTGTTTCAGTATAATTGCAGGCACAAATTAGACATTTTCAGCAAATCAGCTTCACTCAGCTCTTGTTTTTCTGTTTAATAAAGTCATTACTGTATAGTGTTGCAGTACACGAGCTTGAGAACGCAGAGATTCTTGTGGCTCAGTAATTTAGTGGGGGAGGAACAAGGAAGATAAGAAGTGTTAGACATCTGGATGTGGAAAGACAGGTTCTTTTTGGCAGTGTATTCACTAAAAGTAGAAAGGTTGCTTATTGATGAAGATACATTCTCAAAGTTTCTCCCAAAGAATAAGCTACTTGTGGAAAAAATAACCAAGTCTAAACAACGACCTCTTACAAAAGCATTTCTAAAAATCAAGACCCAAAACTAATTAAATACTACATCATTTACATTTTGTGCATTCATTTCAATTTAAAACAGGCATCAGCAAACAAACATCCACTCCCCCACCAAAAACACATACACACAAAAAGAAATCAAAATCCCAAAACCAAAAACCACCACACCAACCAACCAAAAAAGAGTAAAAGCACACCACCAAAAAAAAACCCAACCAAACAAACCCTTACAGCAATGTTAAGAAGCAAAATATTTTTAAAATGGATTTGAGCTTCTAGGCAGAAAAATATTTGTTTTTTCAATTAAAAAAGTCACAATTGGGTAATTACTGCACCAAAGTCTACTAATCTAATATCCCATAGTTACTTCTCCTCATCAACCAAATTAAGACAACTTGTTGCCAGTGAACCATCAGTTTTACTCTATCTCACCTGACCACCTGTACAGTGGTAAGAATTATGCTTACCTGTGATACCCTCTGCCAGCAGATCAGTCATTTTGCAGCACAGTGACAGCAATTTAGTAGTGTAATCGTCTAAAAGAATTATCTGAATATATTTTAAAAAAAAAACCAAACATACAAGTATTTAGATAAATTAGTCAGCTACAGTAAACCCACGTTATATCCTTAACAACCACCTGTACAGTGGTAAGAATTATGCTTACCTGTGATACCCTCTGCCAGCAGATCAGTCATTTTGCAGCACAGTGACAGCAATTTAGTAGTGTAATCGTCTAAAAGAATTATCTGAATATATTTTAAAAAAAAAACCAAACATACAAGTATTTAGATAAATTAGTCAGCTACAGTAAACCCACGTTATATCCTTAACAACTTGCCATGGAAATTTGAAGCTAAAGTCTATTTTATCACTCTGTATCTTTCCATTACCTGCATATAGTAACATTGCAGGGGGAAACCGATTTCAAAGAGCATCAGAAAGCTGCTCCCTATATACAGGATTTCAAAAGGTGAGTTCTATCTGAAACAAGTAGCTTGTCCCCCCACTCCTACTACAAAGTACTTTAAAGCTTCTGCATTGACACAAGTCTTTTGAATTCTTTCCAGCTTACTTGCTAGTTTTGCTTATTCTAAAACTGTTTTATAGCTTAAGCAGCTCGAACAGGTCTCACACTGCTGAGTCCTGATCCACACGTACTGCACAGCAGTGCAAATTTTGAATTAAAGTACAAGAGTGAAGATAGACAGTAAGTCCAAACATTTAAAAAAAAGATTGAAAAATAGAGACAACTCACCACTTGTTGTCCCTATACCAGCCTTTAGATTTTTTTATTAGGTATTAGAGATTCGAGTTACAAAAATTAAAACCCATTGCTTGGATAGAAAACAATCTTAAGTGATAATTTCACCCATGAAGTCTATTGATTTATTCTCTACTCGGTGATACAGATTACTTGATCATGTGATCACAACATTCTTACAAAAAGTAGAATAAAACTGTACCTTCCATTCTTCCTCTTTCCTGCAGTCATCAAATACTGCTGATTTTAGCTCTGTAAGAAGGAAGAGTTTACCAGTTAAAGGAACTGAATTGTTATTAAAAAATATAATTCACCATTTAGACTCATATGTTTAGAGGCCTAAAAAGAAAACTTCAAAAACCCACACTGGTAAGTACCTCCACAGAACTCCTGATCACAAACTGTCCCTGCCTGTTTCCAGGTCTGTACACAGGGTGTAATAACAAATCTTTAGCCTCATGAAGATTTTATTAACCTTCTATTTTCTGAGAACACTCTTATCAATGAATTAGTCCTTACCATTACAGAGAGTTCTTTTTAATAAACTGAGTGTCCAAAACCTTAAATATTATTTTTTCTACAATACTTCATTTTGTTTGCAGAAAAAATGAACCAGAACACACAAATGTGTAACTCAGTTGCCTTGAACCTCATTTCTGTAACTAAAAACAGAAATCAGTTTACTCCCACGATGAAAAGAAACCTTATTCCAAGCTATCAGTGTACCCAACACAGTGTACTTGCCCCTGCAACATTCCAATTGCTGTTTGTTTTGCCCTCAGCCAGCAGCTGCTTCAACCAAATAATTGAACTATACTGGTTTACAGGCTCACAAAATCATCTCATTTCTCTCCAGCAAATAATCTGAACACACCAAAACTAATCACCAACACAGCTATGAGTCGTGCTCCATTTTTGTCCAGGCTTTCTTTTTTTTCTCAAAAATGCCACACCAACCACGCATCCTAACTACCTTCTCTAATTTTGCCTTGTCTGAATACATTCAATTAGTTCAGGAAAGCAATTTTCTTCTACCTTTACTTCCCGATGCAGATAAGAACTACACACAACCCTGACGCAAGAGCAGACCGGTAAATCCCTGTGTGGAAAAAAAAAAAAAAACCAAACAAAAAACCGAAAACCACACCTTGGCAAAGTTAATGACCCGTTTACAACACTTCCTGAAGAAAGGACTGTGAGCAAGTGTTACAAAAACTGAAGTTGCAGAAACGCTGAATCATTTACAAAAATCAGTATAGATATCTCTGTCTAGGTTAGAACCTATTATACAGGTCTAGAACACTAAAGCTGTAAAAGAAAATTTAAAGACAATTTCTTGTGAAAAGGACTTGATTTACAGATACAGAGAGATGCTGTATATAATTAATTTTATTATTTTAACCACAGAAACTGCTGCCTCCTAACTTCAGGTAGCTGCCCCTGCCCCCATTACTGACAACAAACTTAGGTGAATTAACTTTTCTGCTTCAATTCAATCTAAAACTGCACTTAACAGAAAGGGCCATCACAATGGCAAGAAGGGTTTTAACAGCACCATGCTAAACACAGGTACAACCTGCTTTGTATGCACACCACAAGTACAACTTCTGTACATATTCACAGACCAGGACTAAGGTAAACATTGACACAAGCTGCTACATAAAGCATCACTGATGCTACTATTTTTGGACAAATCAGCCTTAAAAAAACCCAAAGAGACACATATTTGCTGAAACATTAGAAACCAGCAGTGTATGGCTGTCCAATACTCATAAACAAAGAGTCAGACAATGTCTAAAACTTAGTTCATCAGTTTTCACTGTCGTCGTAGTCTCAGAAAGACAAGAGTAACCAGTTACTTAACAAAAGATTCTGTTCAGAAGATTCCTCTTTACAGAGCTTGCAACATAAATGCTTTATTATTCACACTACTTCACCATCACTGTCATCTTGTTTCCTCATGGTCCTGCCTGCGTTGACAATGCCATTTTCAGAAGTCCTTACAGGCCCTGATGACACACTAGCGCTTTGATCACATTCCCTCCTCTTAAGGTCCAAGTCTTCTCTAAAACATCTCAGGACAAAACATTGGCTTTACAGTCAAAGGCACAAATAACAGATCAAGACAGGACAAGCAGAGCAGCACAAGTGGGGATTTTTAAAGGTCAGGTGTGGAAAAAAGGGATCTGACTCAGGGTACAGGTGACAGGACTGGACACCGACAAGGACAGTCTGTTTTCTCTTTCTCCCTTTGTTCTAGTTCGTCTTGCAGTGGCACAGGTGAATCAGAGCTTGCAGGTGGAAGCAGAGCAGGAAAACAAAGGCGAGAAGGCAAAGGACCTTCCCACTTCAGCGCCAGTCACTGGGCTGGCCGAGCAGCTCAGGGAGTCACAACCTGAGCACAATTAACCCTGGGGGCGAGGTAGCTATTAATACCTTTTCCCAAACTTCTCCCACTCCCTGAAACCCTGTGAGCCCCAGCAAAGCAGGGCAGAGTCACAACTTCACCCTCCGTAACAAACACCCGCACAACCTGCCCCTAAACGCGGGGACAAACACCCGCACAACCTGCCCCTAA